TTGACTGAATTTTAATATTTACTTATAATTATGTATCAAGTACAATTTTACTTTTTTTGTATCATATTAAAACTTATTATTTTTATTAAGTATCAATTTGACTGATTTATAATCTGTAGTTAGAATTATGTATCAAGTACAATTTACATTTTTATGTATCATAATAAAGATTATTGTTTCTATTAAGTATAAATTTGATTGATTTATAATCTGTAGCTAGAATTATGTATCAAGTACAATTTTACATTTTTATGTATTATATTAAAGCTTATTATTTATATTAAGTATCAACATCATTTTTTTCAATTGCAAAATATGAATTATGTAGTTAAACAGATGCAAAACACTCCCTTAAGTTTGACTCTATTTACAATTCAAATATCTTAAGAGACGTAGCTTTGTTAATAGGGAATGAGGGTATCCAATTATTTATGATAGTGGGTTCTTTGAAAATACATAGAGAACTGATTGGGCAGCTTTGGACGCATATAAAGACAAGAAAATCAAAGAACCTTTGGGTCCGCAACATTTGTTTGATATCGTACAATAAAAAAGCGATAGTCTGTCAATACTGTATCATTCTTTCTCTATTATTTTTGTATCTAATTCATTCTTATCATTAATCTTCTTGTTTTTGTAGTGATTGTGGAATTTTAGCTGCATTTGCTGAATTTTTGAATGACGAAATCAACATGATAATAGTTTTGAAAGTGACTATCTTCGCAAAAGATATGTCGTTGTTATGGAAGTATGATCTCGACAAGGCCAATGTTGGATATGTTAGCTACTATGATGATCCTCCAAGACTGAAGAATGACTTAAAATCAGCAGATGAAGATGAATTTGTTAATGCAGACTAGTTAGTTTTCTGTGTTCCTGTTCACACACACATTTTGATGCTTATTTGTATTTTGGAGATCAAATAGTGTATTGAAGTATTTATTACCCTTACAATAATATAGTATTAAATTTGGAAGAGTTAAAATTGTTTATTTTTTATTTTGATTTTCTGTTTAGTTCAGTTAGGAATTCAGAAAATTATATATTCAAAAAGTGTGATAATAATGACATTATTGTATCAGATATCTATAATAATAGTTATATTAATGAAATTTTGTCGCTAAAAATATCACATTAATGTATCTGATAGTTTTGATACATATCATTAGAATTTTTGTAAATAATTATTATGTACATGATACAAAAATGATTACCAAATAACAAACTTGTTTGTATCACAAATCGTGATACTATATTTTGCACTAGATAGACGCTAGTTATTTTTTTTTAAAATTAAATATATTTTATACAAATCACAACAATTGATATATTAAGTAATATGATTTGTCAAGAAGAAATTTATATATATTACACACAATAATTTGGTCTTCTAATATGAAAATTTATTAAGTATCTAAACATGTGATATTTTGCATCTTGTTTCTTATACCTTTGGGTAAAATCTTAGCAGTTAACACAAATTAAATTTTTGATGCAAAAGTTATAAAAATTAAAGTATCAGATACATAAATATAAAATTAACTTTTAACAAACAAATATTATAGAACATATAGATAAATGTTTAAATTCAATTTATTGTACCAAAATCTCTGTGTAACAGTGGAAAAAAATGCTAAACTTTGAGAATTATTAAACATGAAATATCCATGATACTCTGAAAACATAATCATCAAGAATTTTTTTTTAAAAAAGGTACATGTTCTTCTATTGTAACCTTCTTGTCCAATTGTCCACAACAATTCATGTTTGCGGTTAGCTTTTCATCTGCATTTTTCTTTCCTTTTTTCCTTGGTCGACCAGACCTTTTTTTGTATCTTGGTGGCAAGACAACCTCTTCCAAAACACTTTTCAGAACTGTCCAATCACTTTTGTCCGGCTTGGCTAATGCATCAGGTTTATTTCTACGTACAACTTCACTCCCATATCATTCCTAATTATCATCGGAGATGAATTACCTTCTATAATATATCGGATGATAACATTTTTTTCAATTATCAATATTCAATTCAATTGCAATGGCTGAAATAAGATTCATATATGAAATGTTTTTCCCAATCACTATTCCATCACTTTTGTATCGCTCATATCTAACCTCACTCTCTCATATTCCTGAATGCCTTAACAAGATTGAAATATTCATAACGAATCTTCACAAAATCGCCTTCAAAGAAAATTATGAACCTTGTTTCTGAAACTTTTTTGGGAGGAACAAAGATAAACAATTCTAATTCTTTTAGTGTTTTATATAGACTGAAACTGTTTGAAACAAATAAATTAAGGCGTAATTTAGGGGATTAGTAAAGGTAGCGACTTTTAGGCGTTTAATAAAAAATTCAACTTCTAATCCTCACTTTACGCAACACACTGTTAAACCTACACCAAATATAATGTATCATACATCATAATATGTAACCAAAACTTACTAAAAATATGAGATTTTTTGTAATTTGTAAAGAATAGGAATAGAAGGTAATTTGTGTTTTACACTATGTGATTTGTATAATTTTTACTATATAAATATGACTATTATAATGAATTGTTATCATTTGTATAATTAGATGTTAATATTTGTGTTTGTATAGTTAATTGTTATCATTTGTATTTGTGTTGGGAGAGAGGATTCAGTGAGAGGCGAGGAAGAGAGGAGAAGAGAGAGAAAATAGCGACAAAAGCCTAACTATAGTTATAAACTGTAGTTATTTCTAATTATAATGGTGTATTGTAAATGCATATCACATGTTTGCTAATTACGCAATTTTTCATTCTTTATTTGCTTAAATTTTATGCTACGTTAAAACAAGACCCAAAAAAATAGGAATGCAAGGAATAATATTTTTGTTGTTGTTTTACGTCTAAAACTTTTTACAATTTTTTTTTCCTTTCTCACCATGGTAAAAATTTATATCTATTATTGGTACATATGATAAATCTCTAGGGACCATATGGTAGCTAATAAGAAACATATTATCTATTTATTAATTTTTGTATAACTTATATGATATTTGATAGATATATATGAATAAATTATTTGTGTATTAAATTAATACGATGTTTGGTTGACAATTTAGAAACACGCACAATTAATACATATTTAAGTTACGAGGACATGTGTGTATCATCTTATGCAGGATAGAAAGTGGATAACTAATATATGAATAAAAAAAATTCTTATATATATATATATATATATATATATATATATATATATATATATATATATATATATATATATATATCTATATATATCACTACAGTATTAATACCTACATAACTCTAACTAGTTACTAAACGACAAATTTATGAAACGTATGAGAGTGAGATAAACTCATGATTCCTACAAACTTTTTAAAGGTTATATTAGTTTAAATCAAAATATGGATTAGGTAGTCATTTTAATTGATGCCTTATATGGTCCATACTCCAAAGGGGGCATCAATTCTATCTTAATTTTCTATGAGAAATTGGTACCAAAAAGCATATGCTACAATGGCCGGGACAAAGAGTCGCGATCTCGCGAGGGTGAGCTAAGGATTGCAGGCTGCAACTCGCCTGCATGAAGCCGGAATCGCTAGAGAGTGATGTTGAAACCACTCGTACCGGTATTATACTCAGTGAATGATGTTGAAACCACTGAGTCAAGGATCATACCGGTATTATACTCACTGAATTTAAGCTTACCAAGGACAAGGAATTTGCTAACTACGGTTGAGCGTCCTTGCCCTGATTGCTCTTGCATGGCTAGTTCTATTAATGAAAAAACTGGATGTCCTTGCCCTGATTGTTCATGCATGTCCGACACAACAACAAACACACATGACAGTTAAATAAGATGATCGTTATTATAATTCTGAAGAAAATGAAAAGAAGTTATATATGTGTTTGGTCTTTTTGTTGAATACATTGTGGTACTTGACTGATGTAACACAAAATAATTACTAGTAGTACTTGTGTGTCAGTCGTCTGCTTTTATAAATAAATATTGTGAACCCAAACCATCTGACGCCATATACTTAATAGGAAACTGTATATGAAATAAATAAATAATTTTCTTCAGATGACGAATTGCTTTGCATTTCAATCTTATATATCCTATACTACATTTTTATCAGAAAGATGTGGTAGAATGAAGGTGAACAAAAGTATTGGATTTCTGTTGAAAGACCTTATGATTATCAACAACAGGCAGCACCAAATTGAAGAAACTATCCACGCTACCCTCAACGAGTCATCAACTTGTATTCCATAGAAAGTTATAATCTAAATACTTTTACATCTACTATAAATTTGCCTTCACCCAAAGTTTAATTATATTCAACAACTAGCTAGTCACAACACTTCACAAGTGATCACACCCCTATAACTAGCACTCAAATGCCATTATGTTTAAGTTTTTTGGTCTAAACGCAACACTACTATTCTAAATTTAAATTATCATATTAACTTATTCTTGAATTAAAATAATAACATCAAATTTAATAAGTTCTTTTTTATCCCAAAATTCTTATTTTCATCCTTAATTATTCGAGATATACTGTAAATAGTCACAAGTTTCTTAAATTATTTACAGTCCCACCCTGTACTTCCTCATGTTATGTTAAACTAGTATAATAATTTCATATCTTAAAAGTAAAAATGTACTTCTAAATTAGTCCAAATATATCATATTTCCTACATAAAAGAACCAAAAGCACTATTTTTTAATCAATTATGTCAACTCATATATCACAAAGACCAAAATTAAAATACACTCATAACTCTTTATTATATTCATGAAAAATGTGCAAGTGCCATAGAAATGATGGTGTCAAACATTTCTCAAATTTTAAAATAGATCACTATATAAAATGTATGAATGGAATATAAAAACGATTAGCATATAGATTTTCCTGTCAAAATACAAAAAAAAAAAAAAATAGCTCATAACGCAAACACACAGCTCGTTAAAAAAATTGTGGAAAGAGAGGAGAGACGAGAAAAACTTTATTCATCAATTTCTACTTCAAAAGCCCATAGGCCACGGAATACTTCCATCAACAAAGGTGTGCAACACAACACGAAAATGCAGATAAAAGCAATTATTTCTTCTCCTTCCTTTTGTTATATAATTCCATTTTGGTAGTAACAGTTACAAAGTAGAAAAAAAAAAGCCAAATGAGCCATAGATTGCTCTAAATATCAAGTCATGCAAAATAATATTTGGCATAACAAAGGACAAAAGGCCAATGGGTGAAAACAGGGAAACAACAATCTCATACGTTAAAGAAAAATTTGATCTGTGATCTCCCTGAAAGGGTTGCTTCAGTCCTCTCCGACCTGTCAAAGAAGAAATTTAGGAAGATAGAAGTAAACAGCAATAACAAACAACAATAACGCATCCATCTCTAATGCAATTGCGGCAATTATACTCTGTAACCACGTTTCTCCGTTTACATTAATTTCATCCAACATTGTACAGACACAAAATTAATAATAACCAATGGTAACACAAACATAAAAGATGACGTGAACATTAGTAGTTACACAATAACATAACCTTATGGTACATACTACAAACTCCATCCTTCCACCCTCACGCCCCTTCAACAAGAAATATATGTGTACATTGGTGGACCCAACAAGAAGATAGTGTGAAAGAAGAAGAATTCGATGGCGCATAGGATAGAAGAAAATACATGTTAGTATAGTACGTACACAAAAGGCATACTACAAAATCAGAAGGTAGACCAATAAACCCTAAATATACGTAGGAAACATTCAGGAAACAATTAAAGCTTATGCACACCATTACTAATTCAGCCAATCCGAACAGGCTCTTAGTTGGGTAACTAATACAAATCCTCATTATCCATTTTTCCCATTTGGACCTGTTCCATTGCAATACAAAACAATTTGAGTTCATTAAACTAAGAGGTTCCATATGTTTCCTACTGATAAATATTTCTTTATACACTAAAAGGACTCTAGGAAAACACTAAATCTAATGTAAACACACCAACACGATTAAACCATAACCCAACTAGTATGTATCACATAATTAGAGCCAATTTGGCAAAGCTTTTGCAAGGCCAAAAGTGCTTCTTTTTTTTTAAGAAAAGGTGAAGTGCTTGGTCAAAGTTTTAGAGAGAAAATAAGTACTTATAGTGAGTAGCAAAAGCAGTTTTTTAAAAGCTAAAAACCATTGTTTTTCCCTTTTAACACTTTTGAGAAAAAAACACTTGCAAGCACTTAAAAAAAGTTTGGCTAAATATTTAATTGTTTGAAAGTGCATTAAATTTATAAACACAAATTGCTTCTCATCAGAAGTACTTTTTTGAAAAACAGTTTTGGAAAAAGGCTCTTTTCAAAATAAGCTGATCGTAGAAGCTTGGCTGAACAGACGTATTAGACCTTTGTTTACAATTTCTTCCATCTTTCATGAAGTTTGCCTCAATTCCAAGAGATTGTACATCTTTTACGGAGTGTTTGGTAACGCGGAAAAACATTTTCCAAGAAAAGAAATCCAACTTTTTCATGTTTTGATTGGTAAAATTATTGAAAAACAAGTTGCTTAACAATGAGAAAACCCATAAGTGGCACTCCACTCCTCACCATCCTACAATACAACACATCCCATATAGGGCTGTTCATGATTATGGTTAGAAACCAAACCAAACCGCAATTCGAACCAAACCGATGAAAAAAATCAGATATTTGGTTTGGTTTGGTTTTAAATTTTGAAAACCAATACTATTTGGTTTGTTTTTGGGTTTACTAAGAAACAACTGCAAAAATAACCAAACCAAACCGATAAATTAGATATATATTATTCATAAATAAAATATAAATGTTTTGTTAATTTTTAATTAACTTGAGTCTTTAACTTTACCATTTTCTTAAGCCAAACAATTAAATTTTAGCTCAACCATTACAACCCTAAGTCCAAGTCTATCAAAATCAATTAATTTACTCTATAACTACCCTGCCTCATATAAGATGGTCAAAATTTTCTTAATTGGACCACTTTGTTCGTGTGATAATAACTCTTGTATTGCTTAATTGTTTAATTGAACTTACATTAAATTTCTTGTAGATTGTTCATGTAGTAGGTGTCCATGTCTATCAAAATACACATGTCCTAAAAGAATTTATTACTTTCAAAACGGTTAAAACCAGAAAAAACAAACCAAATTGCCGGTTATTTTTTTTGTTTTGTTTGGTTTGGTTTTAGAAATTTAAAACCAACTTAAATTGGTTTAGTTTTGGTTCTAATCAATAACCTATCCAAACCGAACCGCGAGCACAATTCCATATACACTCCTCCCATAAGCCCCACCTGCACCACCCCTACCTCTCACCCCCACCCTCTAGAGTGTTCGCATTGATTATATATAAATGCTTTTGAGCAATATTTTATGTTTGCATAAGTAAGAAAGCACTTATTTTCTAAGAAAATAGTTTCGACAAAAACATTTTCCTTCCTAACAGACACACCCTTGATATAACTTTCTTTCATGTGATTTAGATCCACCTCATCTCTTTTTAATACCTTCAACAGTCGTGGTTTAACACCTATATATGGGTGTTTTTGGGAGGTCTACCTACAACGTTGTGAAACTATCTTACGCTCTTTTTTCAATTTATCCTCTATTTGTGCTACTTGCATCTTCAGTCGGATGTACTTATTTATGTTCTCTCTTTGTTTAGATAGGTTTATAATCTGCATTTCATCGATATACCTGTCAAAATAAAATGAAAATAACTATGAGCAGCATTTTACACAGAAAAGCAGCCAAATTTAAGCCACACAGGGAAGTGATGTGCACGTCTTCCTGTTTCCCTCAACCCCAACCCCCATCCCCCACCCCTAAAGAAAATATTATATATTTCTATAATATATAAAAGGGATTCACATCTGAATTTCCACCTAAAAGTAATTATTCATTGCTACCCTCCTTTTAAAGTTTCTGTTTATTCATTCCCTTATTTGACAAGACACTTTCATTTTATCCATATACCTCTAGTACTTTGCCATTACATTCAGACATTCAAGGAATGAAGTAGGAAAAGGACTACACTTCCTTGATATCCTTGGAAAGCGAGTCACAGAAAAGAAAAAGGGAATTTTGTAAAAACAAACAGAAACAAAGAAGAGTAAAAATGAGTGTCCAGTCGTCAACTATTCCTTATAAGGCAAGGTAGAGCTAATCTGCTGCACTGTCCCTATTAGGGGTGTCAAATGGGCGGGTTGAGTTGAAATTGAGAATATTAAAATGGGTTGAAATAGAAGTCTGGTTGGGTCTTGACCCGCCCAAGTTTACTTTGGACTCAAATGGGCTAAAAAACGGGTTGAGTCTCGACCCGATTAATCTCAATAATTTAACATATTGATATTTAACTTTTATAATCACAATTTGAATTTTAGCTTAAGAATTTTTTTTTAAAAAAGCAACAAATGGATAGATATACCCTAAAAGATGTTAAATAAATAACAATTCACACCATAATATAGGAACATATCTTAATTAAAAAAATTAAAATGGGTTGAAATTGGAGATTGAATTGGGCTCAATTGAGGATTCTCTTCAAATGAGTTATGCTTGAATGGGTTGAGATTGAACCAATTCAAATTATCTTGAGCTCAACCCTTAAAATTCTGAGCGGGTTACTTATGTTTGGGTTCATTTTTGACACCCCTCGTCCCTATCATCAACCCTGATTAACCACCTAAAATCTTATGCACACTATATTTTAGGCAACCCTAAAATTATTTAGCACTTCTACGAACAAAAAACACTGGTGTTGCAGGCAGGGAAGTCAATTAATTTTAAGAATTTAATTATAATTTCAAGTAGTATTTTTCATTAGTTATTAATCATATTTCTAACTGTCTTTCTTATTCTGTTTGTGTGCCCCTGTTATGACTTCAGGTAATGAACAACAGTGCAAACTTTTCTCAACAGGAAAGAAAAAGAAATTTAAAGAATACAAAAAAAAAAAAACTCACACCAGCTGGACAAAGTGGCAGCACCATTATTGTTTTATATGGATGTCTGATGGGCATAAAATACAAGTCTGTTGGCCAAAAGGACGTCAATATTCTAACAAGTTTTCAGTGTATTTGTGAGGTTCCAAACAATATACTTGTAGCAATAATGACCATTTGAAATTAGTAATTTGACACAAACAAAGAGCCTGAGTGAACAGAGCACCAAAAAAATGATAGCCTTGCATTGGTTAAAGCATGTTTTAGATGGTTAGCTATTGTTGTACCTTCGAAATAAACTCTTAGATACAGAACATTAGAGAACTAAGAACAAAAAGATGGATGTCAGTTACAGATCAGTCCATTTGATTCCTTGTAGCATTCTCCACATCATTTATCCCCTGATTAAATGCCGCCCTAATCATTTTTTAAATCTTTAGGAATTAAAATATCTATTCTGTAATTATCCATTCATCAATGACAGAACAAGATTAACTGTTTCAAAAGCAAGAAATAACACAGTAAGGTCAAGTCATGAAGATTCAGCACATGCAATACAAAGTAAACTTGAATGTAAACAGCAGTTCAAGGAAAAAGGCATTAAAAATAGACGGACATTTGATCAGGGAATCGACAGACATTGCCTCTTGATTCATCATGCTAAGCAAAGATTTGTTAAGAAAATCGACAGACATTTTCTTTGAATTGATTTTGAAGGTTTAAGGCAACTCATACATTTCCAAGCTCAAGCCCATGAGTTACAGATTTTTTAATCAAGAAGCAACTAAAACATAACTGAAATAGTAGGATTTATCTTTCTAAGGTGGTGTATTTACCAGTTTTCTGCCATATATATATTAAATTCTGCAACAGGTTAGTTTTTCTACTTCTTATATGTACAATAAGGCCTCATTTGTTTACATCTAATGAAGATTCAAATCCTAATCATTCAAATCCCAGTCACTAAGTCTATTTATTTTTTAGGTCTGAATCTTAATCATCGAGATATCAATCAGTAAATGTATTTGTTTCTTTTATTCTGCAACTACTTAATGGGTTCAAACAGATTTAAATGATTAAGATATGTAATAAAGTCTTAATATTATTAAGATGTTATACATTAAAAAACATTGCTACAGAGAAAGTATCTCAATATCATTCCATCCACTCTCACTGCTACTTACAATCATCCTTGTTGTTGCCGTCACACAATTAACTACCACTACCCACTCCACCACCCACTAATCACCACTATCAGTTGTAACTACTAACCACCATTTGTAATTATCACCACCAATCATCACCATTATCTATCAAAATGATCCACAACATTATCACCTGCCACCACCATTAACCACTATTATTGTCAGTTACCGTCACAGCTAGCTCAGTTCTTTCAAATAAATGTGAGAATTACAATGTTACTACCCACAACCATTATTACCAGAGGCTGCCACCACCAATTACGTACACGTGCAGTCAAAACCCACAATCACCACCAACCGCCATACAAATTTATTTTTAAATTTAACTATTTTTACATAGAGTATTAGAGTAATTAGTACTTTATTTGAATTTTTGCATTTATTAATTTTCAAGAAAGAACTTTTTACATTCAAATATTGAGAAACAAGCAACATAATAATTTTGTACAATTCAGATCTTAATACATAGTTCAGATTCATATGTGTTAACCCTAATACATGTCTTAATATTCATGTGTACTCAAATTCAAACATCTTAATGTTAATAAAAACAAATAAGGCCTAAATGGAATCACTCGATATTGATTCAAAGCAAACAAACTTAATTCTGATCAAGTTTAATTAGACAATAATCTAGGTCTCATGAAGATTACTTACAAATCACAATCTTGACCATATTCCATATCCTAAAGGGTCAAAAATGATATATCCTTCATAAACATTAACGCTGAAGGTCTCTTTATTTCATAAAAAGTATTGATAAATCTCTTGTAAGAAGAATATTTTGGAAAATGGAAATCCAAGATTTCAAAGTCAAACTAAATTAATCTAAAAGATGTAAAGACTCACACAACCAAATGCGAGCATAAGTGAAAACCGTTTTACTTAATCAGCTAATACACAAGGATACAAGATTGCAGCTTCACAGCTAAAACATTGCAAGCTTAAATATTGCTTCCATCAATAGTTAAAAAATCAGAGATGCAACATGGAATGCTATCCTTCTACTACGTTACGACCCCTGGCTCCACAGCAAGCACACTTTTTTTATCAAGTCAGCTTTTTAATAAAAGAGATGTAAGCAGGGTTAAGTAACACAAAGCTTATTGGTAAAGAAGCTTATAGACACAGCAACAGACTTCTAACCCAAAAGAAGAAAAAAGAGAAACAAATAGGAAAAACAAAAAGCAGGAAAGAGCAAAACTTTATTATCAAAGAAAAGAGCATAACTATAAAAGCTATCATGTCCAATTGAGTATTTCAGGCTAGACACATGTAGAAGAACAACAATGCACAAGTTACTGGAGAAAAGAATGTTGACCATTTACCGAATATAATTGGGGAAAGACATGCCTATTTGTATCTTGCCTTCTCTTACAAGATTGAATTCTATCTCGGGAAATCCATTTAACCCAAAAAAAAATAAGCTCGGGAAGTAGCAATACATGCAATTCATTACCTTGGTAATAGGAGTCTCAGAAATACTAGCAGTTGATTTTCCAGGATATCCACCAAATTTCTGAGAGCATTCTGTGTATGCAGATCCTAGACCTGCCCCAGCACCAAATGCCGTAGATGCCCACCGTGTCACGGGACTCCCTATGATAATAATGAATACAAATGAATAAACTGATTACATTTTTTTCCTAATAGATTTTGGAGATAACTTGGAGAAACACGAGCAGGTACAGGTCATATTATAGCAAAACTACTCATTTTACATATATCAAAGAACAATAAGCAAATTTTAAGCACAACTAGAATATACACCTAGACATCCAGCTAGAAAAAACTTAAAGATAGAAGGGGGATACTGATTGACAAGGCAACTGTAAAGAGCTATTACATCAAAATCTAAAGTCTTGCATGCCATAGACTACACTTTGTCCCCTTTTTCTCTCCGCAATCACAAACTGTGCATATAGTTAAGCTTAAAAAAATAATTATTCAAGTTCTCACAAACAATATGGAACCATATAGAATGAAGCTAATACGAAACCAACCCGTAACCACTCCAGTGCTATTTTTTTCACAAGCGCTGCTCATTACTGATCTAGCCATACACCCTTCAATTTTGCCCTTCAAACATTGATATATTACTAAGAAAATGGCATCACTTCTCTCTCTTTCTCCCTCCCCCATCTGATACTAGACCACACCCCACCCCACCCACGTACACATTCGTTTGGGGTTGGGGTTGGTGTGGGGGTAGGGAGTTGGTGTTTGTCCTTTCTCCAATTTTTATTTGTTTACTTGCAGAGTGATACATATTTCAAAGAATACTACCCTTTACATCATTTACCACTTCCATTTGTGTTCACTAAAAGATTACACAATCACTGCATCACACAAACAAAACTAAACTAAACAATATCACATCTGAAATGTCCAAGATAGTCAAAACTAATAGAGCAAACTAACCCGTATGAGCATTTTCACACTGTGGTGAACTGACAGAAGATGCTCACAAGCAAAAGCTCTAAGTCCAGCTTCAATTTCTTGGTAAAATACACAAACTTAAATATTTCCAATGAAAAAGAAACCCTTTTCGGTATTTTCCCAATTTAATTCATCCAACACCAATTGCAAAGTCAAACAGTACTAAGCAAAACAAGTACACATCTGAAACATCCCATAAAAGCAAGCAATAAAATGCAAATTTATGGGGGGGGGGGGGGAAGCACTCACGGAAGAGGAGAAGACCAGCAAAGCCACCGATTAATGAAAAGTAAGTAAAACGGCGAACACCCAAATCAAGACAAGCATCCCATTTTGCATCCAAATTGTATCCTGATGGTACAACTGATTGTTCTTGCTTGTTCTCTTCAGCCATTGCCACACAATCTCACTTTCTAGGGTTCCTTGTTGTTTGATCTTGATTTGATTAGCAGCCGAGGGTTTCGTTTTCTGTCTGTACCTTCTTTCTGGAAAAATGTACAACTCTCCCAAATTTTCTAAGAGTCTTTTACCCAAATAGTCCTTTAACTTTGACATTATGTCTATTTCATCCTTCTAATATTATACTCCCTTCCATTCATTTTATGTGAGCTAGTTTGATTTGGTATGAAGCTTAGGAAAGAAATGAAGACTTTAAAATTTATGATCCAAAATGAATAATAGAAATTTGTATCGCTATAAATCATTTCATTAGACATAAAATAGACATTTTATAGTTTATTTCATTAAGAATAAAATAGATATCTTATAGTTGAATTTTTACTTAATATAGGAATGTATCTTTCAGATATATTGGGAGAGAAGGAGTATTTGATTTGAAGTATTTCTTTAATGTCACAGACTTAGATCCCTTTGGATTGACTTTGAAAAATATAATTTTTAAGTCGAAAAATATAAAGTCAATATTGAATGATTTTTAAATTAAAAAATTATAAATAGGAGAGACCGACTTTTGGTTTTTAACTTTTTTAAGTCACTTTAAACTTATTTAAAGTTATTGTTACTTTACCAAACACTCTCTTAGTTATTTTAAGTCATTTTTAACTTATTTAAAGTTAATTTTATGTTTTTCAAACACTTTCAACGGTCAAAAACTAACTTAAAAATAAATTTTTTTTAAAGACAATTTAAACACCCTCTTAAAGTTTGTTTGATTTGGATTAAAAGTTGATCAGACTTACTTTAAAGTCATTTTTAGCTTTTGAAAGTGTATAGCAAGATTAAAAATAACTTAAGATAATTTTAAAATGACTTAAAAATCAAAAGTAAGTCTCCCCTATGTTTTATTTCTAGACTTAAAAGTCATGTAAGTTTGACTTTTTTTATTTTTTTGACTTAAAAACTACTTTTTTTTAAGTCAATCCAACCTGGCTCTTACTCCAAATAAGCACCCTGCACGTAACTCAACAACTTACTCACGATTCTTTCACGATCTTAAGTAAGCCCTTTCAAACTAGACTACTAAGAAAATGAAGAAAGACACAAGAGAATTTATAAAGAGGTTCTGTGTATTGCTCGAAGATTTGCTTGGTTTGAGTTACAAATGACCATCCTTCTACTTATACCACACATAGGGGCTAAAGTGCAAATAAAAATTACTACACAAGTCCCTGCATATTTACAAATAGGTCTCTCTTCTAGAATTTTATTCAAGCCTAGACTTTCTAACGTTTTCCATGAACTACTCTTAAATATTCTAGAGTCTTCTTAAAAAAACCTACATAACTCTAGATTCTCCCAATAATGTTAGCTCATTGTGCTTCAATTTTATGCTTGAGTGGTATGACAAAGTGGTCGATTATGACACTCTCCCCCACCTAATGTTACGTCTATTGCGACGTATTGTTGCTACATGAACAATCAAATTTTGTCTACACGCATGCTTGACTAGTTGTACATTAACTCGATTAATGCCCTTGAGCAAATCTTCAGACATCATGTCTTTATTTTCTTTTAGAACTTTCTCTATTCATATTGGCAAAGTCCACTTAGCACTATTGTCTTTAGGCACACTCGCAATGGTGGTTATGAACGTAGACTCTTCTTCATAAGGCCTTTCACGAGTTACATGACTAATAGTTGAGTTTGTCCATTTGTCTTTGGTACCTTAACTAGGGCACCATACATGATCATTTTTGCTCCGTGACCAAAAGTCGTTGGAAGTAAGTTCAATCATCATGTGATATTTTTGGAAGATCTCTTGCCTAAAAATTATCTCAAAGATGTCCGAATGAGCGATAGTAAAGTTGATTTTACCGTGCTACTTGCCCAACGTGATACATACTCCATGAGCGACTCCACACACTAGAGTCAGTGGTGAATTGACCGTCTAGAGGTGGGTCAACCCCAACTTTGTTGCTATGGTGTTGGTCATAGACATTGAGATTGGAACTTATGTCGACCATAGCACAAGTCAGTCTTCCATTAATTATAATGTCTACAAATTATGCGACATATTGTTTCGTCTTCTCTATTTTCTTTGTGATAGCTCCGCATACTCAAATTAGACCCAACTACATCGTGCTCGAACCTTGTCTGTTTTTTATGCATTTTTCTCTCCATTCCCATAATATTGCACCAATGTTCTTTAGTTTAAGGCATCTTGTATAGCCCTGTGGGCCATCGTATATGTAGTGTAGAAACTATTTCCCTTTATAGTTTGTGTCATTTTGTCAACATCGTTTTGATGTTCAAACGTCTTACCATTATACTTAAGGTGTCATACTTTTGGGATGTGATTGTTTCTCCTTGATTTTCCACGATTCCCCCCTACACAAACTTTGTTCATGAATTACCTCTCATGTATTCTTCTTTTATCTATCATGCTTAAAGTTTGTCAAACCTTGGTCTGCATGATGGTTTCATCAATTGTCCTAACTTTTTAGCGCTCTAACTCTATCCTGGCCTAATTTGTACCATATCCATGAAGTGGAACAACATATTTTCATCATTTAAGTTAGGAACAAGAAGTGTGAGGGTGGTGAACTCATTCACATATGCTCGTATGATGCATGTCTACTTCAACACCCTAAACTTGTGTTTTGTTCATGGATGATGTTGTTGGGAAAAAAATTGTTTTTGTACTTTACTCAGAATTCTTCATATATGTTGATGGTACAAAGCCCATTCTTTGTCTCAGACTGTTTTCGCTTTGAGCCATAGCCATCTTCGAAAAGCTACAACACAAGAGCGTTAATTTATTCTTATGGCTTTCACTTTGTTACAGTTAAAGCAATTCTCCAAGGGCCAAAGAAAATTATCCACCTCTTGTGCTTCACGAGCGCCTTTGGACATCGGTGGCTTGGGAGCCTCAATTTTTACCTCTCTATCTGCATTGGAAGTCACAAATCCTCCATCTTCAATTCCTTTCTTGAGTGCTTCTATCTCATATTCATGGTTTCAACTGTGCTTAATGTATTCATAAGCGACACTCCAAGAAAATGATGATTTCATTTACTCATATTATGCATGCTTATGCACTTCCATCTCTTTGCGGATGTTGTCATTCTCTTAAAGGGTGAAGTCTCCAGAGTCTTGAACTTGTTATCGACCCAATTCAAACGTCTACCTAAAATCTCTATGGCCTGCCTTACCGTGTCAACCCTCGTAATTCATTCCATCTAGGTATAATGTCCACGGGCTACTCCACATATTCATCATTACTCTCCTTAGTGACCTAAGGTTAGTGTGATGTTAGTATTTCACTTGGTGTAGGTCGTAGAACAATTCTTCATTCTTTTTAACATTCTTCCTCTATTTTACGTGTTTCATTCCAACATCCTTCTTGACATTTGTGGTGCTAGTAGCGTTAATGTCTCCCTCGTTTTCCAATTACTCATTAGTCAACCTTTGTTTCGACACCACTTTGTCATAGACTTAGACTCAAAATAAGTACATTGTACAGTATTCGACAACTTACTCACGATTCTTTTACGATCTTGTAAGCTTAAGTAAGTCTTTTCAAACAAACCACTAAAAGAATGAAGAAAGACACAAAATAATTTATAAGGCGGAAAAGGGCCTAAAATACCCTCAAAGTATTGGAAATGGTACAAAATTGCCCTCCATCCACCTATTGGCTCCAAAATACCCTTCTCACCCACCTATTGGATCCAAAATACCATTGTCATCGACCTTTTAGTTCAAAATTGACCACTTATTTAACGGTTTTATATTTAAACTATTTAAATATTATTTTAAATACGCCGGCTCAACTATTTGTTATAATTGAACTTATTAATATAATTTATAAATCAATCCAATACCCACCTATTACTAATTAAACCCCTCCAAATTAATAAACCCGTTACATTATTAATGCAACAACAGAAAAGCTACTGCCAATTGAGTGTTTTTAAAAATTTGAGGTGAAAAATATCTATAGAAGTAAATTATCTTACATTCAAATGTCTAAAGAAAAATTATCAATAAACTTAAAGTCTGACTATGATGTTAATTCATAGGTAACTTCTTTTCAAAATAATATATTAAAGGTTTTAAAACAAATCATAAATAGTTATAAAATTATTTTTTAAAACACTGCATGAATTAATTCGGGATGTATTACTTCTTTACCTTCAACCATAAATTTCTAATTCAATTTTTGAGAGAGAATCCTATTGAAAGTGTCCTCCTAAATAAGCGGCTCAACCTAAATTTAATTGGGGCTTTGATTCGGACTCGAATAATTTGGACATCATTTTCAGGAATCTATAATTTCATCGTGTTTTAGTAGTGTTTATGATGATTTTGATATTATAATTGGATTATTGATTGGGTGAGGTTTAGTTAGTAATGAATGAGTAGTGGGTTGACTTATAAATTATATTAACAAATTAAATTATAACCAATAGTTGAACACCAAGTATTTTAAAAAATATTTAAAGAGTCTAATTTTAAAACAATTAAAGAAGTGGTCAATTTTGAACCCAAAGGTGGATGACAAGGTATTTGGAAGCCAATAGGTGGATGAAAAGCACATTTTGGAGCCAATAGATGGATGAAGAGTAATTTTGTACCATTTTCAATACTTCAAGGATATTTTAGACCCTTTTCCATTGATAAGGAGACTTTTGTATTGCTTGAAGATTGATCTTGTTGCTTGGTTGAGTTACAAATTAAAGCTCATTTATTTATACTACATACCTAAGAGTCAAAGTGAAAATAAAAATTGATACACAAGTCCTTACATATTTACAAATAGGCCCTTCTTCTAGAATTTTCAACAAGCCTAGAGTTTTCTAAGGAATTCCAAGAACTTCTCTTGAATATTTTGGAATCTTCTTAAAAACTCTACACAACTCTACATTCTTCCACTAAGGCTAGCTCACTTGTGCTTCATTTTTATACTGGTATGATAAGGTGGCGGGTCATGACAATGGTAACACTATGAAAATATGAAGTCAAGTTTGGAAGAGAAAGTTGTTTCTTTCTATTGATGTTGTGGTCTATGAGTCCAACCTACGTATGGTAGGATGAAAGTCGTTAGGCTTGGTTTG